GGGGTCTTATTAACGAGCGTCGTCGAAACATCTACTGATCATCATGCCCAGTAAGGGAACATTTTGTTCCCGATACATTGACCGTACATATCACGAGGGCAGCCGGTGTACCGGAAATCGCGATATTCCTTTATTCGATTACTTAACAAGTAGCTGGGGGCCGCGAATTAATGGATGTTATGATGCATGAGAACTCCTTTTGTTCCAACGAGTGATCATTCTGATTGCTGGGCTTTTTCGCTCATCTCATCAGTCGTTTTAGATCAATGCGGTCGATGGCTTGGTGGAGACCCGGGCCATTGGTGGGCCTTTTGCTCGTTGTGACTTCACATTGCACTAGAGGAAAGTGGTCTCTGGTTCATCCTCTGTAAGAACTGTCCTTACACAACACAAATCAAACGTATTGAGCACATGAATTTCAATTCTTGTGATTAGTCTCAATCGCATGCTCATGGTACAAGAAATAGGTTGCTACACAACTCGATAAGAATCGAACTTCAACGAACCGAATCAAGTCGGTTCTAGAGAGATCTCCCGCGGATCTGTATGTAAAAGTATTATGATGAGCGGGCTTGGATATAGATTTATGCCCGACCTTTATGTTTGGCGTGAAACTTCAACCTCAAAATATTATTTTACTCTTGATGATATTCCATACACTAAATGGCCAGAAAGATGCCCAATGATCACCTCCACCGTAAACCGCCTTGTTTTGATTTTTTTTTTTCTTGCCAAGAGGGTAACACATGTTGGTGAATTTCTTTAAGGAATGTATTCCCAAGCATCACTAGTGAAAATTTCTTCAACTTATGTCTTTGATCCGAGACGATGGTAATTTTTTTTTTATATCAAGAAAATGCCCTTTTCTCAAATCGGGGTTATCTTGCCGGATGAATTTGGACCAATCCATATAACATTGCGAATTTCCATATTGATTCGACGCTTTATGCGACGCCCCGATCCTAAAAACGAATGGGAGAGGACTTGGGGCTCGATGTATAGGCGCGCTCGCCCCCTCATATGATCATCACCTCGATCGAGTGCCTTAAATATTTCTTTTGAAAGCTTGACTCATCGTGGGGGGGAATGATACGAAAGGTAGTGAGATAAGAATCGACATAGTCTTCGAGTATTAGGTGTTGCTATACCCAATTTACTTATAAAATTATATATATTTATAGGCCGATAAGTCAATTACGGAAGGTTCGTGGGGGAAGTACTTGAATGTTGGGGATCAACGTGGATATGATATCATCGTTGTACCTTTTTGCTTTCTTTTTTGTCTACCGAGTCATCGGGCAACATGCTAAGATGTCGGAATTATCGGTTTTTCCCCCCTCTGAATAATGGACTCCTCGAGGGGAACATTACAAAAACAAAATCCTAAACATATCGTACGGATGCTGATTCGATCCTAAACCTTTTAATTTGATTAATTTAGATTTCAATCTTTTGATGATTTGCCAGTGTAGTCATTCCGGTCAATTTTGGCTCACAATCGCTGACATGGACGCCGGCCATCCTACATAACACGTTTGGCCCCAACGTTGACAATTATTTTTGCGTTTTTTTAAAGATTTTCTGATTTTTTTTTTTTGAATTTTTTCCTTCCTTTCTCTTTTCCTTCTTCCTTTACCAATAGCTGGACCGGCCACGGGCAAGGGTTGACCGCGCTAGCCTTGCCCGAGGCCGGCCAAAAAGAAAAAAAATTTAAAAAAGTTTCAAAAGAAATTATAAATATGCAAAAAAAATTGTCCACAAAAAGAAAGGAAAACAGAGGAAAGAGATAAGAGGAAAGCAAAAAAGGATGAAGCGAAAATTGGGGAAACGACTTCAACCATTGATAAGCTAATGTAAAAATATTTAAGGAGAATAAACTTAGGATTTAAATCTACAATCTAAATTAAGAAGAATCCTTATCCGAAAGGGTTACCAAGAAAATGAAATACCGTAGAATCAACTTAAAGAAAATTTTGCTCATTTTTGCTTATTATTTGTAATAAGACTAAAGAAAGTTATTTGATTTTTTAACTTTAGCACGTAAGACTCTATATGAATCTCAATCTTTGGACCACACCTTTCCCAAATATCGGCTTTTACTCTCATATGAAATGATGGTTTAAATGAACGATACATTATTAGACAGAAATACAAGTGAAAATACAGGATCTCGTCCCTCAAAATTATGGAATACGGATTAATGCCGTCGAAATACAAAACTTTGTGGGGGTTAAACTAATCAATAGAAATATTATGTACAGTAACTGAGAAAAAACAATTCAGTGATGCACCTGATCCATGCAATTATACGGCAAACGAAAGGTAGATCGAGGGACACGAGACCCTACATGGCCCACGTGCAAGAAAACAAATGTATATTCATGCATGATTGCATGGCCGAAACAACACGAGAAACACGTGCTCCCCTTGCCTTTTTCCAAATTTTTTTGGTTCTCTCTTATTACTTTATTGACTTTTAAGTGCCGCTTCGCTTAAGTGTGCGACTGGTGGACGGACGTAGCTCGGACAGCCATAAGTGCACCGACAATCTACAATTTTTGCCTCATAAGATGCACCAAGATCTCATGTGATCCCCAGTAAGACCTTCGAATTGTTGCACTAGTAAACATAAAATCTTATATATATCAGGTAATTTGATCGGATTATATTTTTGTCCATCCTTGATTAGTAAAAACTTCCTCCAATCATGCTTTTGATTAGGAGTGTGCATCAGTCTCGGTCCAACCTAGGAACCGGACTGAATTGGCTGGTTTTGGGTGGTTCTCCAGGGGTTCGGTCCGCTTTTGGTTCCAAAAATTTGGAATCAGAAATAACTGGCCAGATTCCCGATTCCACATAAAGAACTTGATTGATGGACTAGCCAATATTTCTAATTTTCATAATTTTTATTCTGAAACAAACCCTAATTAGCAAATTCTTTGAAATGTCAGAAAACTCTCACTTGTGGAGAATAGAAGAAAAAATAAAAAAAAGAACGGCCGCGCTTTTTCCACTCCTCATTTGGCTTAGACACTCCCATTTTTTGTGTTTTGACCATATTATCATTTATGGGTCTCACCATTTCTAGTACAACTCTACAAATGTGATCTTTTTTTTATTATTTGGATATCGTTTCTTTTTTTACTTGCGGGTTTCACTTTCCTACTTCTTCTTTTGTTTCATGCCTTTGACGTCTTAATTCTTCACTCTTGCAAATTGCCTTTGGCCTCCATTGTCGTCAAAGAAAATAGATTACCTCAACCCTCCTAAGATCAAACAACCATATTAAACATATCCTGTATCATTATTTCCAATAAGTCAATTAATGGAAGCAACAAAGCATCACAAAACTGATGATGAAGAACTTATGGAAACGATAGTGAGAAACTGAACCCAGAAGAAGAAAAAATTTTATAAGACGTAAGTATGCTATAGACCACAAAGCAACTGTGCAATTGATTCACAAACACTGTTTTGATGCACACTATACTCTAAACGCATAATTGAATCACAAAATCAAGAATTTCCATGACCCAAAAGTCAAATTCACTTTTAAGAAAAAATATCAATAAATACTCAATAGATATCGGGATGAGCATGATTCGAGAACATGAAAACTAAAATACAAAAAAATAAGCTTTCGCCAGAACTGTACCTCCGATAGCGAATGAGGAATGTGCGGATTGCTAAAGTAAGTAGTTTTTGGGGGAATGCAGGTGCAGGATAGATTTACCGAAGAAGAAGGAGAAGGAGTGGGAGGCCTAAGAGAATGGCTTGTCAGAGAGAAAATATAGAGACGGTTTGCAAAAGCGAAGAATTGAGACGTGGAAAGAAAGAAGAAAAAAGAAAGTGGGACTCGCAAGGAAAAAGAAGAAGGACCTAATAATTAAAAAAAAATCACTCTTCTAAATTTGTATCAGAAGTGGTAGGTCCCACAAGGAATGATATAGTCAAAACATAAAGAAAATGAGCGTCTAAGCCAAAGGAGGAGTAGAAAAAGCGCGACCAAAAAAAGAATAAGAAATCACCAATTCCAGGATCGACTTTGAAATCGATCAGTTCGGTTCCAAGATCGGGAGGGCCAATTCCCAGTTCAACAAACTGTCAACTGATTCTGCCTAGTCTGATTTCAGGTTCCAGGACGGGAATTGATCTACTTGAAAATCGATCACCTCTGCTTCTGACTGGTTGGTCAAAAGTCATGAATTTTGTACGCGCCCAAACTTAACACGTCCATGTTTATATATATATATATATATACAGTAAAGCGTGCATGCATCGAAGATTACCGTCCGCTAATATCTCCGTCGCAAATCGAGGTTGTGTTTTTCCTCACCCAATTCACGACCGCACATGTCTCCATCGAAAGAAACTTCCAGCCGAAATTCCGTCACTTTCCACTCCCAAGCAACCCCTAAAAAATATCCGGTGGCAAACCGGTCAGCCGGTCAATCCCACCCGCTGCCGTACAGAGACGAGAGACAGCCTCAGCTTAGCTGGCATTTCGATCCTGTTTTAGATACTCCCCCCCCACGACCACACCACACCTCGTGGGCCCCACATAAAATTTTGTCTTTATCCTCCATCGCATTTTCTTCTTCTTCTTCTTCTTCTCTTCTTCTTTTCGCTTTTTTTTTTTTTATCGAAGGAAATGCCGAGTTAAATTAAGGCACCACGAGAACCACGCGAGGATCTCGCGCGCGATCGACCGGGAGGGAGGGAGTTGGTTGGTTGATGGCCGTTGATCGATCGCGAGAACGCGGGAGAGCGCGTGATGCGAAGGGAGGGGGGATCGACCCGGCTTCTTGATTCCTTCTTCCTTTCGTATTTCAAATTCTCTGATGTGTGCCTGAATCAGCAGCGCGGTCTTCTTCTTCTCCTCCTCCTTCTCCTTCCTCTCTCTCTCTCTCGCTCTGACCTTCCGACGTTCGTGGGGGTCTCTTGTTTATTGCCAGAGGGGGAGGGAGAGAGAGAGAGAGAGAGAGAGAGAGAGAGAGAGAGAGAGGAGGGGGAGGCGTGCACATACAAAGACTGACAGAGAGGAAACACGAGACATTGACCATGGACGTCGTCCTTTCTACGTGAGAGCTGACCGAGCGTGTTTTGAGGAATTCCAGTTGGGTCGTGCGAGCCTCTGTCTGTCTGTCTCTCTGCCTCTCTCTCTCTCTCTCTCTGTCGGGTTGTTGTTGATTTCAAGATAATAACAGAAACTCCACAACGAAGGTTAACACCTTTGCACGTCGGGGATCTTTTCTTGATCCATACTACGGGATAACCCAGAAGCAGTTTCTTGGCAGAGAAGCTGTTGCTTTGGCTCCTCCTGATAATTCTCTATATCTCGTTCAGCGTTGGTCCCGTTCCTCCCTTTTTGTTTGGCGAGGAGGCCGATTTGCGCCGGCTTCCGGAGATTTATAGAAGCGGAAGGCGTGCGAAGATCGGCTTGAATTAACTTCGGATCACGCCGAGTCAAATCTGTTCTCGTCTCGCATCCGAGTTCCTCGTTTCTTTCCCGGTATCTCTCCGGATCAGAACTTGGTGGTATGTGTTTCTTTCATACTCTAAAGTATGGGATTTGATCAGAGTTAGGTTCGAGAACCGGGTCTTTTCTTAAAGTTTTGCTTGTGATGATACTTCAAGATTCTTGAGGTTTATAATCTGATGGTAATTCACATTGTGCTGGTGGTAATGGTGATGTTTTTATGTGATAATTCATTGAGCAGTCAAAAACCTAGCGGGAGCTATGGAAGTGACTGTTCTGATCCTTTCAAACCTCAAACATTTTGTCAGATTTGCACGGTATTTGGCTTAATTGGCCTTAGTAATTAGCAATATGATCATTTTGAGAGAATCCTTAATTGGTTCTGCAATTATTAGCTCCTCCACGATCTGTCCTTGATGTCTACCTTAGATGTTTCTCCTCTATAACATTAATCTTCGTTTGATGGTAGACAACGGAATCTATTCATTAATGAATTGGCAATAGGATCTGACATTTACCAATTTCGAATGACAAGCCTTTCTTGTCCATACTGACAAAAGTTTTATGTATGGCGTAAGTGATCGATCCGCTTCCTTAAAAGCTGAAGAAACATAATTGGATAAATTATAGTCTATAGTGCTTGGGTTAGAAATTTGAATGTTAGGTACAGTTTCCCGTGATCATATGCTTACTTAACCGAGGTTAATGTTTGTTGTGCGTCTTGTTGTTTGCTTGTGTAAAGTGACTAAAGCATCTCGAATTTCACCTGGAACTAAAACTAAGCCCGTTTCCATTTGTTTGGCAGAATAATCTGAAACAGATGGGAGGGATCGACACAAACAGCGATGATTCATCGCTCAATGCACGGACTGGTCCACCAGTAGCACCTCCATTACCTGGTCCGGCCCTGACCAAATGTGCCAGGAAGGGATTACAAACGGAGGGAGCGCCTCAAAGAGGCGATTGCTGCATCTCGACAACAGCGATCGATCTGTGGGAGCGACTTTTTGATGAAGGCTATAAAGCAGATGTCCGAATCCACACCGACGATGGTGGTGTCGTCTATGCACATGCTTGTATAATTGTAAGAACTCATCATCCAATCTTGTTCAATTCAAACAGTAAAATCTTCCCAGAAATAACGAGTCAGTCGCCTTCCATCCAACGTTGCTATACTGGAATTTTACTACTCTCTGTCGACAATCTGAAAATTTCTTATTGTGATCATGAAAGTAGAAATTTTCACGTTCTTTTTTAAATGAAACTTTGTGCCATGTATATTTTACCTTTCAGGACAATTTTGGCATGAAGATAATTCACCTTTAAATGATCGTTACTTAAGTTGTGAAATTATCATGTCATGAGAGGGGATCTGATTCTTTTCCCACACGAAAATTGATATCTTGAATGACTGAGGCCACATGGATGTGAAGTGGCGTGACTTTGTACTTCTAAAACTCATCACCAATTGGCTATTCTTTTGCAGAGCATGGCAACTCCAGTAATGAAAGGCATGCTGAAGAAATCAAAAAGAAAGGGTCGTTATCAAGTATTATCGGTCAGCGGAGTTCCTCATGAAGCCGTTCGTGTTTTTGTTCGATTCTTGTATTCATCCTGGTAAATATATCTCCGTTGCTGTTGCTTCAAGAACATTTTAGACTTTCTACTTACGGTCTTCTATTCTAAACATTGCTTGTGTTTCATGTGTAGTTATCAAAACCAAGACATGGCTGAGTTCGTCGTGCCTTTATTGGTGCTCTCACACTCATTCGTGGTTCCTCGGCTCAAGCAAATCTGCGAGCAGCAACTCGAGCAGGGTCTTCTTAACATGGAGAACGTCATTGACATTTTTCAGCTGGCGTTGCTCTGTGATGCTCCTCGTCTGAGCTTCATCTGTCACCGCATGATCGTGAAGAACTTCAAGGATGTGTCAGCCACCGAAGGATGGGCTGCGATGAAGCAGAGTCACCCCTTACTAGAAAAAGAGCTACTAGAGGGCGTCGTCAATGAAGACCATGTAAGCATTGGAACTTATTGTCTGTCATCGCATCATTCTTTTCCCTACTTTTGGTTCTATTAGAAACCAGACCAGAAAGGAAAATTAATTTGAGATTTATTTTTGCAGAGTGCAAAGGAGAGGATCAGAATGAAGAATGAGAGGAAGATCTATTTGCAACTATATGAAGCGATGGAAGCTCTAGTTCATATTTGTAGAGACGGGTGTCGGACGATTGGGCCCCATGACAAAGTCTTCGAGAAGGACCAGCCGCCGTGCGGCTTCGAGGCATGCACAGGCCTAGAATTGCTGATCCGCCACTTTGCGGGCTGCAAGTTACGGGTTCCGGGCGGTTGCATCCACTGCAAGAGAATGTGGCAGCTGTTGGAGCTGCACTCCCGCCTCTGCGCCGATTCAAATGTTTGCCGAGTCCCTTTGTGTAGGTATGTCCCTAACGTGCAATGGTTTTTGTTGTTAACGGAATGACGTGATCCTCTTGCATTTTGGCCAAATTGTGTAGCCACATGTTTTGTTTACACAAACCCTTGTGTTTTACTCGGTTCTGAAAGTGTTGTTTCACTCTAAACTTGCATCTTTTCGATCTAATTAAAGACATTGTAATGTCAATCAAAGTCTTTACTAAATAGAAGTTTCTCCATTTTGTAGGAACTTCAAGGACAGGATCAAGAAACAGAACAAAAAGGACGAGGCCAAGTGGAGAATACTTGCGAGAAAGATCTTGAGGACAAAGACCATCGGGGTATCGCCGTTTTTTACATCGGCATGTGGGAGTTAATTCTGGAAGCAAATTCCGGGATTCTGTGTGATGTCAATCCAAGTGTAATATGTAATGTTTATATGCAATAAGAAGCCTGCATTGAATCTGGTGGTTTTGGATGCATCTTGATTGCTAGAATCATAAGGAAAGAAAAATAGATCGCATTCTCTTATACGTCTCGACCTTTTACGAATCTTGCAAGCTGGACTCGAACAAATTAATAAACTGTCAACACTTCAAAATTTGACACCGATATAAGTCCACATCATAAATGATAGGCTCACATGACCTTAAATACACGTATGTAACGGGTTTGAATGTAAGGAGTTCCAATAGTAATCTCTTCTTGTTCTTGGTTTGTGCCGGGATGATTCATTGTTAGCCCGTTGGGGAATGATGCATACGTCCAGCTTTCTAATCTTCTGAAACTGAGTAGCCGAACTGCTAAACAGCATCCGTATCGAGATAGGAAAGACGGATTACAGCAAACATCGTTCTTCTGGGTCATTTTGCCGGTTTCGGGATTCGAAAGAGTTTTGAGGCAGACAGAACAACATTCATCCACGAGTGCTTGGTCAGTGCGTATCAGGTGCTGAATTAACTCGGATCCGGTTATGTCAGAATTCAATCTAGTACTGCTTCACCATGCATCTTCATGGGATGGAGACCATAGTTTCAAATGCCAATTTCTGCCATGCAACTTGGACAGTGACAAGCGATTTCAGACTTGTTGCTGATAATGACATAGCAGCTACTCCCAGAAACTCTGAGCTCCAAAACGTAGCCATGCGAGAGAGAGAGAGAGAGGAAAATAAAAAGGATGGTGGCATGTTGGAAGCTACTCTCGTATCAGAGCCAGGTTTCGATCCTGGGACCTGTGGGTTATGGGCCCACCACGCTTCCGCTGCGCCACTCTGATTTGTTGAAACTATTTTGTCAAAATTTTATATAAGTAGTGAGGCATTAAACCTTATCCATACTCTTACCACAGTTATTGAATTGTACAGGACATCATTTAAGGACCATGAGCAAGGACCAAGTTGAAGGAATTCCAATTCAGGTCCAATAAATCCTTGAAAGGTCATGCGTCGTATTCATAGTCAAGAACATTTTACGTTAAATCGCAGCTCACTGATAGTAGTGCTCATACGAAACGCTTCTTGTGCTTCCACTTCGCCAACAGATTTCGGCGCTCGGTTCGAATTGCTTTTCTGTCGACTTTTATAGTGCAGAGAGCATGACAAGTTATCTGGAACTTTATATCGAAAACTTTGATTTTCTTGGACAACTCTCTTGATTGATGAGAGAAGAATATGCCATGACCATGGGCTGATTGATTTAGCTGAAGCACTACATAAAAATTGCAAACCCTGTTATTTGTTGACATTGAGAAGATCTCATGTAACTGAAAAGCAAAACTAGAACACCGAGTGCCACCTTTTTTTACGTCTCTCTATTCAGATGCTAAAGCATCAAAGCATACCAAACTCTCAAAATAGTTGCAGATATAGGCTACCAGAAGAACAGCGAGATTGTAATAATAGTATTATAAACCAATGGTCTCTCCTCCGACTAGATTGTGTCTAGAGCTGATTAAACGGGCCGAGAATGGCCGTCGTGCCGATCGATATTAATGCTTCGCGTCATGCCTTACTTGAAATGACATCGAACTACTCATGCGGCTAATGGACATCCTCGGTTCGAGTGATCAACTGAGTCACCCAAGTTCAGTACTTGCCCAAACTTACCGCAGACATGCTAAGCTAGGTTGTAACGACAGAGATAACTCAATTAGTTGGCTAAACTGGGCCTGAAACACTGAAGTGTTCCCTTAAGAGCCGCTAATTTGTTGTCTTAATGTAGCCCAAAAAGAAAGAGTCCAACCAAATTGGGTTGAGAGGAGATCTCTATTCAAGACTAATCCAAGTGAGCTGTGCTCAGGACCCTGCTTTCACTGTCATGCCAACTTATTAACAAATGGATAATACCATTCACCATGCTTCATCCTCGAACTCCTTTTAGCTTAAGCATGTGAAATTCTTTGTAGACGACTAGAGTCTTGTTCAATATTGGATGTTGAACCAAAATTTCTGGGGAAAATTACCAAATCAGTTAAACCTATTGTACGAATACGAACACAGCCATAAAATTTTTCAATTTTGCTAATGTAATCATAAACCTTTGCGTGAAATTCCAATAGAGTTCTTCTAGCCAATTATCGCCGGAAATCGTTGACATGGCGCTCCACAAGTTGTTAAAAATTTTAGGATTGAATTGACATCATACAATAAGTTTATGACTGATATGATAATTTTCCCAAATCTTCGATATATGGTACCGTTAGAGTATTACCGACCTCAAGTTAGCTTTTCCGCCGTAAAAGAATAATGTTTTTATCTCACAGTTTTAACTTTTAAAATAGTCGATAGGGTTATTGTAGAATTTGACTTTACGTACAATTAGTTCTTTACTTGACGTAAAAGACCAATAATCAATTTGAACGTGATTTTGGAGTTTTACTCTTTTCATTCAGTCATAAACATTCGACACCATGGAATAAATTGAGTAAGAATTTCGAGAAGTCCACGAACATAACATATATGAGGCAATAAATGATTAAGGCTTCGTTTATTTCGCGGAAAATATTTTCTGAAAACAAATATTTTCCTCAATTTTCGGCGTTTGGTTCGCTTAGAAAAATGAGTAAACGGAAAATGATTTCATACCAAAGCTTAAATTCAGTAAAATGATTTCCTCTTTGAAAAGTTGGAAAACTTTTTTCAAAATATGGCTAAGTATCGACGCTTGAACCTGAAACTCTACGCTTGGGCACGAAAACTCCAATGTTGGTTTCCGGCGGCCGGCTCGGGTCCATTGAGGTCAGGTCCAAACCCTTGGTGCCCATGCTCGATGCCCCGACACCCGAGCTCGGGCCATAAAGGCCGTGTTCGGGTCCTCGACGCTCAAGCTTTGATCCCCGGCACTCAAGCCCGGGTCCACAAAGGCCGCGCATGAGTCCTCAGTGCTCGGGCTCGTGTCTTTGGTTAATGAAACGTTCGTTCTTATAAAAATACTTTTTTTTAAAAAAAATTGAATTTTTAATAGAATGTGATCCATGATCTTGGAACAGTTACAACTTTCGCGTATATTTTGTTGTTTTCTGACGTTGGGACTATCCTTTCATCCTTTTTTCTTTGTATTTCTTTTCAGTAAGTATGGTAGTTCTTGGCTATTCTTCTGCCGAAGGAAAGAGTTGAGATCTCGATCCACCATGGCTGTGGTAGCTGGTTGTGGTGTCAGGAAATTTCTAGTTTAGAAATTATAGGTCATCATTTCAAATACCAACAATTAGGCTTGATTGGAGGAGTGCTATAACTTTTGGACAGTAATCACTTGAATGGCATAATTTTTTTTTCTCTCACTTAAGTGCCACATCGGAGTAAAATCGATCATTTGAGTGCCACTTTCGGCAAATCGTTATACATGGATTTTTTATTATGTTTTGATTTTCCTTTTTTTTTTCTTTGTGCCAGCCGCAAAGGTCTTGCCCTAGGCTGGCGAGGCCGCGAAGGCCTCGCCCAGGGCCATGGTGGCCTCGTAGCTGCGGGTGAGGGCCTTTGCGCCGGCCACAAAGGCCTCGTCGGCTATAGTCAGCGAGGTCTAGATGGCCTCGGCCAGGGCCACTGCGGCCTCACCAGCAGCGGGCGAGGGCGCGAAGGCCCTTGCCAGATCTGGGCGAGACCGGTGGCGGATTTTCCGGTAAACCAAATTGTCGATAGCACTTAAGTGATTGATTTTTGAATTTTGTGGCACTTAAGTGAGCAAATATAAATTGCAAAATTGTCCACGTCGACGCCAGTGGTGCCACGTAGGACGACTGGGTCCACGTAGGCCGATGGCACTTAAATGATCGATTTTTCAAATTTGTGATACTTAAGTAAGCGAAAAAAGAAATTATTACGCTCACTAAAGTTATTGCACTCTTGCTATTCTTATCCCCCAACATTTATATGGAAAGTGATCTAAGTTAGACCCACCTACACAAGCTAAAGACCTGGACTTCACCGATTTATGGGGATTTGCAGGATGTCCCATGAACCTCTAGATACCAAAGCCTCTACACTCGTGCCTCTAAATTATTAAAAAAAAGTGTCGAGATCTTCTTAAAGATCTGATTCAACTTATATTTTACTTAAAACACGGATAAATAGTTGAGACTCGAGATGCATTTTTAAGTATCACAATTTTAAGATAAAACGAGTCAATTTATCTTTGTCTAGATTGAGAGAAATCTCAACTTAGAGGGGGAAATGATGATAGCCAAAACTTTGTATTAATCACCAAAGGTCCATTGAACCCCTTCCCAAGAAGGGCAATGGAAACCGGAAAGAAAGAAAACATACAAAAAAAATTCCAAAAAAACCAACCTAACTTTCTCCTTACCTCCACTTTTTGCCCTCTAAATTGGCAAGAAACAAGACGTACACTTTCAACGATTCAAGATGCAAAGGATGAAAATGATTTCTGTAAATATCTCTCCAAACTGTGCAACTGGGGACCGTGACAAGTACATTGCACGAACTTCTTTTCATAACACGTGGGAATCGAGAGAGGGAGAGGGTGGTCCTCAATTTCCTGGTTTTAGGACCCTCTCACAGGCCCCTCCTTTTTCATTTATATATTTTTGGGCCTTTTATAGAAAAGTGCCTAAACTAGCTGCTTAAATCATGCTTATTGTTTTTCTGGCCAATTGGCAATGGAGGAGCGGAGAGAGCCCAAGAGCATGCAAAGCCGTCATGGGCTCTTTCCTTCGCCCTCACATGCAAGCACCTTTCAGCCTCTCTAATTCCTCTCTCCAAAAGAAAAAAAAGAAGAATACAGTATTATGTGCGAGTTGGTGATGGTAGACCCAATTCGAGTCTCTCGAATCGCTATATGACTCTTTTTTCGCCATATATATATATAGTGTACACGTGTTCAAGTTCATGGATCCACATATATACAATTATGAGAAAAGAAAAATTCAGACTTCATCATTATTTTCTCGTGTCTGTTCGTGGTCTTTTCGAAATTCTTACTCAATTTACTCCATGGTGTCGCTTGTTTATGGCTGAATGAAAAGAGTAGTACTCCAAAATCACATTCATATTTACTATCGATCTTTTAAACTAAGTAAAGAGCTACTATTATGTAAAGTTGAATTTTAAGATAATACTGTCAGCGGCTTTAAAAGTTAAAACTGTGAGATGAAATGGTTACTTTTATAACTAGAAAGCTCACTTGAGGTAAGATATATTCTAACAGAACCATATATCGAAGATTTGGTTTGCCAACCTATGGGGAACAACACACTAGTCAACAGAGGATTTCACATGCTTAAGCCAAAAGGGGTTCCAGGATGAAGCATAGTGAATGGCATTATCGACATGTTGATTAGTTAGCATGATAGTGAAAGTACGAGGTTTTAAGCACAGGTCAGTAGAATTAATTCGGAATGGAGGTGGGGCTCTCAACCGAAGTGTTTTTGGGCTTCTCCAAGGCAACAAATTAGCGGCTCTTACGGCAATACTATACTTAAGTGTTTTTTACTCTTTAATTTCTGTACACAATTGTTTTAGGCCCAGTTTAATTAGGTAATTCAGTTCTCTCTACACAACCTAGTATGCCTGCGTGAGTTTGGGCAAGTACCAAACTTGGGCGACTCATTAGATCACTCGAACCGAGATGTTATTTGCCGCACGAGTAGTTCGATGTCGTTGCAAGTAAGGCACGACTCTAAATTTTACGAGTTCGGTATGGTTTGATGTTTTAGCATCCGAGTAAAGCAACACAAAAGAGTACACTTGGTGTTCTAGTATTGGCTTTTAGTTTCATGAGATCATCTCACACCAAGAAAATCAAAGTTTTCAACATAAGGTTCCAGATATTAATTCCATCAGCAACACTAACCTGCTGCTTGGATAGGCAAAGCACAAACACAACAAGCATTTAAGTAGAGTAGAAGCTGCGATACAATGTTTTTTTCAACCAGGAAACATAAACAGCACATAGACCGTTCATGGATCTGTTGGACCTAAATCAGACTTCATTCTTGTTCTCCATCTTCAAGTGATGTCCTGCACAATTCAATAATTGTGGTAAGGGTAAGGTTTTACGTCAGAAAACTTGGTGAGAGTCATAAAAAGATGTTTTTCCAATATTATGTTAACAAATGAAAGTGGGGCAGCGGTGGCATGGTGGGCCCATCTCCCAGGATCAAAACCTTAATCTGATTCGATTGCGCAGAAGATGGTCTTAACGAAATTGACAGCCCCGACTCATTTTCTTTTCTTTATTATCCCTTTAATAAGGATGACCGTACCTTTCGCACTGTGACTCATTTTCTGCACAAACTATGTACAGGGCATCAGCCAATCCGCAAAATTATCCCCAAAAAGACCGTGAAAAGGTCAGCTGATGTAACCATAAGAACTGAAGTACAAATTCTGTACAGGGCAATCGACAGCAAAGACGAAAAAAGCATCAACAGCTTCTCTACCAAAGAAGCCTCTCCGAAACATCTAAAAACACATTTTCTAGGTGTTACATCAAATGATTAACATGACAAGATCAGGGTCTAAACAAACATAATAAAATGCAGATCAAAGTTCACCACAAACCTTCTTCACCAACGGTGGGGTTTTTATATGCTTCAAAGCTCCAGAAGGTTTTCAAAGAGTAGGGTGGAAAAGTTGTTGCTCCTTCTTCTGTGATTTTTACAATCTGCAAGTCAAGCGCCATGTCATTTAGATGGTTCGAAATAAAGCTAATGGGAATATTACAAAGAAAGAACATCGAATGCCTGTAGACAGAACTATTTATAAGTGAAATGCAAGGGAACAAATAGAAGAACATGTGACAATTGCGACAAAAGAGTGCAAAATGAAGTCATGCACCAGATATCAATTGCTGTCTACAAGGAAGATGATAAATGAGAAGCTTCTCGACCTTCTTGATTATGAATTAATTTCTCTAATCATTGTAATTAGTATTTGTAAGAATTTAAAAAGCAACTTGTCAGCTCCAGGACAATGAAACCGACTTGTCCACCCCCTCCTCTTCTTCTCTTCATGCTCAGTCCTCAGTACACTTTATTAGTTTATCACATGAATTGTGTAGCTCAGTAAATATGAAGAACTGCTCCGAAGCAAGAAAAAGATGGACCTAAAATCAACAACAAATTCAAGCGCTAGCAGTTCTCAAATGTCAAGATAAAAGGCTAAAATCCTTTAAAATGGCCAAAGAACGGTATGACATCTCCTGGGTTCCAATTGTGACTTAGCCTCTGGGGTTTCCTAATTATTCAAAAAGTAGCATACAGGGAAGAAGATTTAGGGGACAGAGCTTGAAACAACTTGACATTCATCCTCATTAATCTTCATCACAATGCAGACTTCAAATCTGTCTAAAAACATCTCAGAATTTTTAAGATACGAACCAATACAAGTCATCCATGACTAATCATTGTACAGCAAGGTAATAATCATGCATCACAGGTGGGTTGGACCTGCTTAAGTAAAAATGTAGAGAGGGATAAACCGTATTGGCAATTGGATCCAGGAGGGGGCCAGAGTTATATGTGGAGGCTGGTTGTGCAACTACATAATCCACAAAAGAATACACTGTAATTCTCCTTCAGAGTCCCAGATAAGACATCCTCTCCTTAACAAAAGGTTGATGCCTAAGTGTGCAAAAGCTCATCAAAATCACACAATTATACGAGTAAGAGGAAGAAAATGCCAACAACCGATACGGACTTATTACATCCTAATCTTATACTATGCTGCCATATGTGAACATTGAGAAATAAAGAAAAACATAAACAATAACACAGATAAAACTAGAACCTGAAGCTTATTGACTGCAGAACTGTCTCGATACAGAAGCACGCGCATGCACTTCTCCAATAGCTTAACACCATCTTCAAAACTCAAGTTCTCGTTCCACTCATCACGAAGAATTGGCCGTGCAAGGTGATTGCCAAACCCAGTAGCCACATGGTTATCTTCGAAACTCACGCCTAACATGCTAACCTGGATAAAATTGCAGGACAAGTAAATGGGAATTCAACAACATCTGAAAAGTCAAATGAATCTCATCAAGGGTCGAGACCTACCATGCCAAGATATTTTTGTCCATTCTTAACTCCACCTAAAACTAGAGAGTTCCACAATGGGTTGAACTTGTTCCGCCTATTATACATGACCCGAGTCACATAATTATGCACTTCTTTGGGCCCGAAGGAATTCCCATCATCCCACATATTGTCGTAAAGACTGCAACCACAGACCCCAAAATCAACAGTCTTAGTCAGAAGCAGCCTCAAAGTTAGAGAAGCAAGGTAACAAATATTCGGCAATAAAAAAGAAATTGCTGCTTGTAATCTTAATCAATTGGTACATACATCAGTTCATCAAGGTTACGTAATATCTCCTGAAAATCACTTATCTCTCCACTCGCACCCAGGAGAGAATGTTTTCCAATAGGCTTTATACGCTCAACGGTTTTGTACCTCAAAGTAGATCCATAAGAACCTGTGAAATATTTCTCGCTATCAGAACATTGAGATGAGCAGGAAACTAACATATCCACAATTAAGGAGAATGTAGGACTCAATAACCATGTCACCAGAACATGTAAGCAACCAACAATTGGAAACCAGTTCTGAGATCACTATACTATCTAAAGTTAAAGAACTTCGAAAGTTATGTAGTTAGGATAACTTTACTAGGTAGAAATAGCGAAATGGAAGAAAATACATAAGCAGTAGCATGTTTCCTTCTGGCATGGCTAGCCAAGACTAATGTTCATAATGAGCAGCTATATAGCAGGCCAGGACAAAAGTTGCAGTGCAGCTGTAAACAGCTTTTCTGATTTTGACAACAGGCAGGTACCACCAGAAATGACATTCGGCAAAACATTTTCGTTTGAATAGCAGGAGCATCGAGGTGCTGTATTCAAATTAAACCAAACTCACGTATTTCAGTATGGAATACATACAGCTGAAATTTTCGTCAGATAAAAATTTCAGAAGTTAACAACATATGTTCCGAAATACAATTGTGTCATTTAAAAGAGAGGTGAAACAGCACCTGTCTGCATAAGTAATAACCAACCATAGTTAATGGAACACCGATACAAGTCGATGGAATACAAGCAGAATCATCTCTATCCATAAAGGGGACAAGAAGACCAGCGCAATGCATTGGTTGCAGTCTACCCTTAAAAAACCTCACAGCGACACTCAGTAGCACTCTCTCAACATTAATTGTGATTTCCAAAACGGCCTTTTCCACTCGCTTTGGATACTTTAACCAAAAAAGAAGAGATCACCTCTAATATCCAACGATTCCAAACTTTAGACAATGCCATTGGAGAACTTCATATATCCTAAATTCCCAGCATACACGATAACCAATCCTATTGTTACTATGAGTTTCCTCAAATTCTTCTTATGAATATTCCCGCATTTCTTCAGAGATATTTGGTCAACCAAGAAACTAACCTTAATTACTCAATCATCTCAGGAAGCAACAAAAATCGAGCATCATCTTAAAACTCATTCAAAAACGACTCAAACCTCTTAATCATCATTCCAAAGGCCTGACAGATCAAATTCCCTAACGCAGACAAAAGAACCAAAATTTCCCCAGAGCGAAAGTCCCACAATGTGCAAATCAAAGTGCACCAGCATCAGGGAATCGCAAAACCGATGAAGCAAAAAAGAAGTAAACCTCCCATGTCAGCAGCCATCAGAATCCCATCCCTGTACTTGAGCGCCAGCACAGACGCGCCCGTCACATACGGATACCTACATCACGCGAGCCATCCAAAAGAAGAGACGAATCGCAGTCAATTTCACATTGAAAAGACACATCATCCGAACATCGGGAGCCGAAACCCTAGATGCTCAAGCGCACTGTCGCGAGCATGCGTATTGTCCACGAGAATGGGCGACGAACAAAACAAGAAGGTTGCTTACAGAGTTCTTTCAGAGCCCAGCGAGTGAAACGAGGCGTCACGGACTTCTTCCGATTTTTCAACTGGCCAAAGATGGGCACCGGAGAAGGAGAAATCCTTGCGATGAGTTTTTTCCGGGATTTGTTCCGCATCCACCAAATCCGTCAGACACACCCTGCGGTTTAACGTCTTCTGCTCTTGCAAACGATGTTCACCGAACAAGGAGAGCATTCTGCGACGAGTTTCTTCTCGGACTTGCTTAGCATCAATCGAATCCTCGATGATGAACTCATCATCCGAGGAGGAGAAATCTCTGCGACGAGTTCTTTCTCGGGCTTGTTCCGGATCCATCGAATCCTTCCCATATATCCCGGGGCTCGACGTGCTTCGATCTGGCGAACGATGGTCATCGAACCAGGAGAACAATCTCCGATCAATTCGGCCTTGCCCCACCAAAATATCCCTGCGAACCGGCAACGTCTCCAAAAAAAAATCCATACCGGGGCTTGAAATGTTTTGGTCTGGCGAAATTTGCTGAGATAAGAATAAGAAGAAGAAGAAGAAGAAGAAGAAGAAGAAGACTCTGCGAGCGAGACCGCGATGAGTAGTTTTTCGAGATCTCTGTGTGGGGTGTAAATAGCAGGAGCTTGGCCCTCTGCTCAAGCCACACAATTAGGGTTTCAGTATCCGTCAAGCTCTTTTTTTTTTTTTCTTCCTTTTTTTTTTACGCGTACAAACTCCGTCGGGCTTAGCTTGGTGGACAATTTTGGGTCCCTTTTGCCTGTGGGCCATCATCAGACAAAGGGCCAATTCACCCATCACAGCCCATAAAAATACAGCCCATAAGCCAGATTCGAAACCCGAAGTCCAAGACCACTTATTAAGCTCATATAGTGGATCCCACGGGGACAGAATTGGAAGGAGGCCCAGGGTCGAAGCCCATAGGCTCGGCCATTTCTCCCCCCTTCTCTCTCTCTCTCTCTCGGGCCTCTTTTTGGAAATTCGAACGAAACTGAGACGAGCGCGTAGCAGGCCGAGCGAAGCAATTCAGCGACAAAGGGCGCGCGCGCGCGGAGACGACGTCGCGACGGAATTTTCTCTCTCAAACTTCCTCTCTTATAACCACCTCCCACGCTTTCTTCTTATAAGCGGGGTTCGCTCGGATTTGGGGGGAAACCGTTTTTTTCAAGAATGCACGATCTTCACTCACGTAGCGAACCCAAAACATCCCCTCTCTCTGCAGAGAGGAGTTTCTCGGTTTCCAGTCATCTCCGTCGCCCTCAGCCACGATAAAATCACCGCCGCCGCCGTCGCCGCTTCCGGTCGTTCCCGCGGTCGTGACCGTCGTGCCCTCTGAGATCGGAGTGGCCAGGTCTTGCTTGAAACTCCTCCTCCGACGGCCCTAATTTTGGTCGTCGAAATATGCGGAAGCTTCCTTCCTTCTCCAATTCGATCATCAACAGCGACAACGATTAGCTTCATTAGAGTTTAAGAATAATGAGGTGGAAGAGGGAAATATGGAATTTGTATATTTCGATATATTGAAGAAGAATACATGAGATGTCTATCTAAGACAATATATCAATCAATATATACACTATCAAATGAGTTATACGCGCAATCTTAAGAAATACAGGAATCAAAAGAATTTTCAAAATATATCTAAAAAAGGAAATTATCCTAGAGAAATCCCTAATTATCTCTAACAAACCTCCTCGAACTCGAGGTGACTAAGTCAACTTGAATTTGAAATCAAGTCAAACATTGTCAAGCAGCTTAGACGTGGCAGATGAGGCGGCGTTCGGTGGCTGTTCATGGCCAAATTTCCAAATCTAGCTAGTCTAAGGGCAACAAGTCTGGTGGCGGTGTTGGTTCTCGAAATGACACGCGAAATGTCGAGAATCGAGGGGAAACGACAAACGGCCGATGCGGTTGGCTTACAAAATAGTAACGCGGCCTATATGGCTGGCTTAGGAAAATAGTTACTAAGCAATGCGGCCTGTGTGGCTGGCATTGAAAGAAAAGCTACCTCCGTGAAAAAGGCTCGACTGGGTGACGCAGTCGATGTGGTTGGCATCGAAACATGACTATCATGGATGGACTCGACTAAGTACTTTCTCATATGAGACTTGTGCGCACGAAGTAAACACTGTTGATTGGCGAGAATATATTTATTTTGCTATGTGCTGCACCTAGAGTTGCTTCGGGTTAGGAGGCTTTGATACCAAGTTAAGAATAATAATACGGAAATAGAAAAATGTGGAATTTTATACAACATTTATCAAAGGGAGATATAAGTGCAATCTTGAGAGATAACGGGAATCGACAGAATCATTAAAATATATCTAATAAAAGAAATTATTCTAGAGAAATCCCTATTTATATCTAACAATTAGCAAGGTAACACCGAACGCTCTGTTCTGTCTCGAGGAAGTGAGGGCCAAGATATTTTCTTCTTATTATTTCGTTGATTGCAAACATCCTAAATTTATTTAGTATGAGATTACTATCAAATCTGAGTTCGTTGATGTGTCGTTTCACCTTTGAGTCAAACGCATAGAACCTGTTTGACGAAATGCCTCTTAGATATGATCATGAATTAGTTCCCGGAATTGTTCAATCTGAAGATCTTTTGATTTATCATTTTATTAGCTACTAGATATGATTTCTGATGTAATTTCATAGTTGCCGAGCACATTACTGAACCTTAGACTTGTTAAATGGGTGAGTCGGGTCGGGTTTGGGTCGTGTCATAAATGGTCCGACCCAAATTGATTCATTGACCCGTTTATGACCCATTTATTTGTAATGTAAATATCTCGACCCATTCCTGACCTGACCCATATTACTAAAATACTTCTATATTTAACTCAATATAGAAAAACTCGTTTCTTATGATTTTTTTTAAAATTATACTACTAAAACATTTTCATACAATAAAAAGCTAGTAAACAATTTTTATAATTTTTTTTAAAATTGAGGTTCCGTTTGTTTTGTGAAAAATACAACATTTTTATAAAATATTTTCCAGAAAGTCATTTTCCAAGAAAATAAAAAAAAAATTCAATGTTTGGCTGAAACCCGAAAATGAACTAAAAAATATTTTCCGACGTTTGATATATAAAATCTGATTTGATTTTACTTCATGTAATCATTTTAATGATTTTAATATTTTTTTTTATTTTTTTAAAATCGAATTTTTAATTATTATTATTTTTTTTCTATTTCCTTTATTTTTGGCATGTGGTCGGCCACAGGCGAGGATGAGCTTGCCCGGCTAGTCCGATTTCGGCAAGCTGAGCCTCGCCAGCCTTGGGCGAGGCTCCACCTCGCTAGATTCGGCGAGGTCGAGCTCGCTTGAGGTCGGCGAGCTTGAGTCTCGCCAGATCGGTGAGGCCTTAGGCGAGGTTCCAGCCTCGCCAATCTGGAGCTCGCTTGAGGCCGGCGAGCTCGAGGCTTGCCAAATCGACGAGGCTCTAGCCTCGCCCAAGGCCGGCGAGGCCAAGCTCGCCTGATTCCGACGAGGTCATCCCTCCCGCCGGCCTCCGGCCGAAAATAAAGAAAAAAGAAAGAAAAGAAAAGAAAAAAGAAAAAAGAGAAAAAAAATAAAAATAATTTCTATTTAAAAAAAATATTTTTATAAAAAGGGGGAAATTGTATGTGGACTTAATGGGTGGGTTGGAAATGGGTTCCACACTCTACCCATTAAGACCCATTTATGATAGGCTTAAAACTTTAAGACCCATTTAAGATGGGCTCTTTAAAGTTGTAGTGACCCATATATGACCCATTTATTTTTTAAATGGGTCATGTATGGGTTTAAGACCCATTTAATAGGTCTACTGAACCTACGTTGCCTCTGTTTCTCTGTTCTACGATTCTGTGTGCTCCTATGGCGGTTGATGGTGGTGAGCGACCAGAAGATGGCCTAATCGATATCCGGTGATGTTGACGTATGTTTCCATCTCTATGTGGTGTCTCTCTTTCCCTATCCATGTTGTGTGTAAAAACTCAGTCCTAGAGTGCTACGTAGATCATTATAAAAACTCATCGATTCAAGTCAAACAACACAACATTCAACACACAATCATAACTTTCTCCCACTTAACATCAAAGTTCAAACTAAAATTAACAACTAAATCAAGAGTGCTAAGTAGATCATTCTAACATAGTCCCTAGAGTTTTCAATTACCTTGAAAAAATGACTTGAGCAAATCAAAGCTTCTTCAGTTACCTCCAAAGCAAAACAATCAAGAACATAAATTAACAACTCTCAATCTTTTTAAACAACAAAACTAATTTGATAAGATGTAGAGAAAGCCCAAAAACTCACCTTGTAATTACTTAAAATATCAATTTAGAAGCTTTGGAAACACAAACGTGGGACTTTGGCCTTTGCTTCAAAAGAGTGGGAAATGAAATGGAACTCTCTCTCTTTCTTTACAAGAATGAGTTGAATCTCTCTATTTAGAACTTGGATTCTTGAAGTGGCTTCTTACGATCAATAGGAGATGTATTTGGAAGACTTTCATAAGTCACAAGAGGATAAGATCAAATAACCAGGGGTTAAAAGCAATGATGACTTGGGCTAAAAATACTTGGTGGTGGATGAGAAAGAGAGGTGTACAAATTAAAGGATATCATTTGGCTTAACTCTATGGTTCCAAAGTAGTATTTTGATAAATTATCAAGATATCTTGGGAATCAGTACGTAAATAATGAAATCGGTGTCCGTTTTAAACATTGATAAGTCAGAAAAAATATTTTGAACCCGCTAAAACGTTCAGCAAAAATATCGGACGCTAGGAGGGACTCAACTTAGTAAATTTATAGTGTATCGCTTATCTGATA